GGAAGAGCCTCGGGGTCTGTGGCGTGAATGTTCATCAGTGTCAGATCCAACTGTTCAGCTTCCTTCTAGTGGTAACGTTGAGGAGTACATTTTTGGGTAAGGGACACTGACTCTGTGTGGGAACAAGACTCTGAGGTCTATTCCTTTGTGTCACAGAGGTTCATCAGAAGCAAAGGATTTAGAGCAGTGAGGGAGTGAGCAGCGGAGGGAAGGGTTGGGAATGCACTGTTGGCCTTTCTGCTGATTCCTCCCGACCACCCAGGCACGTGTTTTGGGATTTCCTTCTGTCCTGAGCCTGGGCCATCGGCTTCCTGACTTCCACCTGCAGGTTCAAGACCAAGCATGATCCGGGGAGTGGCAAAAGAGTGCGCTTTGGAAGGACCAGAGGGGATGGCGGTGACAAGGGAGTGAGTTATGGATGGCCCAGATGGGAAGACAGCGATGACCCTTTTGCTTACAGATACCAACTCCTCAGGTGCGTGTTTTTGGATTCTCTTCTGCCCCAAACCTGAGCCACTGACTTTCGGATTCCCACCCGCAGGCTCTGGACCAAACAGGAGAGGGGCATGTACAGGAAGTGCACTGCGGAGGGACCGGCTGGGTTGGTGGGGCTGGCTTTCCTGCTGGCACTTCCAGTTGTGTGATTTTGGATTCCTTTCTGACCAGCGTCAGGGGCCCTGGCCACCGGCGGAACAGCTGCAGGTTCAAGACCAAGCAGGGTCCAGGGAGTGGAGAGAGAGTGAGCTCTTGGGGAATCGGACCTGAAAGCGGTGCTGACCAGCCAGTAATCCGTGCTGAGACAGCAGACTTTGGAGGGACCAGAGAGGACAGCAGTGCTGAGGGTGTGAGCCGCCTTACTGAAGGACCAAGTGGTGGTGCCGACTTTACTGCTGGTGCCACCCCATCACTCACGTGCGTGCTTTCAGATTCCCTTCTGCCCGGTGCCCTGGCCATTGGCTTTCTGAGTTCCACCCACTGGTATAGGATTGAGCAGGATGGGGAGTGGCAAGGGAATGACCTACAGAGGGACCGGACAGGAAGCCAGCAGTGCTGATTTTCATGCTGGTGCCTCCTGACCACTCAGCTGTTCTTCTGTTAGGTTTTGCTGTAGGGTATATGCCCTGACTAGAGAGAAACAGATAGAGACCATAAGAAGGAAAGTGAGAAATCACCTCCACTTCTACCACCACCACCACCCCCAACCCCCACCCAGGGGATGTCACACTGCAATTCCTTCTCCATTCTCCTGGGATCTGAGGTATGCATGCATATGTACCTAGTATGATTTTCAAGCTGCCAGGCCCAGGACTTAAATTTGTGGTGGACCTGGCTCGTAGGAGTCCAGAACCTTGACCACTGCACCTCCTACCCTGCCCTCCCAGGTTTACTTCTTATTTATTTATTTATTTTTAATTTTTGCCATAGGGCATGTGTACTCACTCTGGAGGAGGCGGGGAGAGAAACAGAGAGAAAGTGAGAAATCATCCCCCTGGAGGATATCCATGCCCCTCTCCTCCATTCTCCTCTCATGATTTTGGGCAAGTATGCACACACACCAAATGTGAATTTCAAGTCGCCAGGTCTGGGGATCAAACTGACATAAGCCTTGTGAAAGTCCAGCACCTTAGGCATTTAGGCACCTGCCAGCCCCTCCCAGGTGTACTTTTAAATTCCACTGTTCTCGGGTCCCTGTGCTGTGCAGACTTTACCTTCTTACTTTAGTTGCGTCTCTCCAACCTAGCCCTTGGTGCATCTGGTCCTGAGAGGCTGGGAGAGGAACCAAACACATGAAACTGGCTACATGCACCCTCCTCTGATGGAGAGATGTAGCCTCTACCAAGAATACACATGAGAACTAGAGCTGTCATCCCCCTCTTGACACTACAGAATCTACTCCCCCTCCCAGTAAAACATTAAGAAGTGTTTACTTTATCAGGTGACTAAAAACCAATGTGCAGTCCCAAGAAAAATGAGAAAACAGGAAATATTTCTTCCTCAAGGGAACACAACTTATTAACCATAGATAGCACACAAGCATTCACAGAAATGTCAGAAAAAGAATTCAGAATATTCATAGTGATAAAACTAAATGAGATGCAAGAAAAAAAAAAAAAAGAAACAAACAACTCCAGAAGACAAGGAAATCATTTCACAGATTGAAGGAGTATTTCCTTAAAGATACAGACACTGAAAAAAAAAAAAAAAAAAAAAAAAAAAAAAAAAAAAACCTGAGCTGGAGATGAAGACTATATACAGGAAATCAAAACCTCCCTTGAAAATATTCATAGAAGATTAGATTATGCAGAAGATAGAATTTCTAATCCAAAGATACAAGATTTAAACTAAACCATAAACCAAATGGACTTGACAAACATCTATAGGACATTTCACCCAATGAACACAAAATGCACATTTTTCTCACTCCTACATGGAACATTTTCAAATACTGACCACAAGATAGGCACACACACACAAACATAAAAAAAAACTTTTACGAATTCACATGTATAGAAGCAATATCCAGCATCTTTTCTGACCACAACAAAATTAAATTTGAAATCAACTAAAGAAAGGACCCTTGAAAATACACGAACCCATGGAAACTAAACAATCTACTCCTGAAGGACTTCATAACAACTGAAGAAATTAAGACTGAAATCAAAAGGTTCATTAAAAACAATGATCATTAACACATGAGTTTTCATAATATATGTTTGTTTCTGTTTTTTTTTTTTTTTTTTTTTTTTCTCTTAGTGTGCATCGGCCCGCCGCGCCAGCTGGGGGCACATGCGCTCGCCAGACAGACTGAGAGACAGAGAGATAGAAAGCAAGAGATCACCCCCCAGAGGGGATGGCCATGCCACAATCCCTTCTCCTCCATTCTCCTCTTGGGATCTTGGGCACACATGCACACACGCCTGGCGTGAGTTTAAGCCACTGGGTCTGAGACTCAAACCACGGTCGACTATGTGGGAGTCCAGCGACATAGCCATTATGCTAACTGCTGGTCCTAAATTTCTTGACACATATAATTTACTACGGTTGAACCAGAAGAACTAGCAAGTCTGATTGGACCAGTAACAAAGAATGAGATTGAATTAACAATAAATAGTCACCCTACAAAGAAAAGTTCAGGTCCTGATGGCTTTGCTTCCAAATTCTATAAAACTTTTAAAGAAATGCTAACCCCAATTCTCCTTCAACTATTTCTAAAGATCCCAAAAGAAGGAATCCTCTCAAATTCATTCTATGAAGCCACTATCATCCTGGTCTTCAAAAGAGACAAGGACATAAGAAAGCTATAGACCAAATCCCTGATGAATACAGATGCAAAGATTCTTAACAATATACTAGCAAATATCATCCAACAACACACATTAAAAATATTATACACCATGACTAGGTAGGCTTTATTCCAGGGATACCAGTGGCTCTACATCATGCGGAATGATAAATGTAAAAATCCATCACATTAACAGGAGGAAAGATAAAAACTATATGATCATTCAATTAATGAAGAAAAGGCATTTGATAAGATATTGGGTTGGTGCAAAAGTTGTGACTTTTTTTCGGTTTTTCTGTGCAATAATGAGCCATAATTTTCTGACAACCGAATACAACATCCCTTCATGACTGAGACTCAGCAAAATCAGCATAGAAGGGATATTTACTGATGCAGTAAAAGTCATATAAGACAAACCCATAGCTAACACTATATTGGATGGGGAAAAGCTGAAACCTTTCCCCCTAAAAACTAGAACAAGACAAGGCTGCACACCTTCTCCACTCCTTTTTAACACAGAACGGAAAGTTCTAAGCAATGTACTCAGACAGGAGAGTAAAATCAAATGCATTTCAAATAGAAAAAGAAGAAGTGAAATGATCTCTAGAGATGACATGATTATGTACTTAGAAATATCAAAAGAATCCATGAAAAAAATCAGCAGTGAAATCAAAGTGCCAGGAAACAGAATCAAAATACAAAAATTATCAGCATTTTTATACAGCAACAATGAACAGACAGGTTGAATAAAGCAATCCCATTTACAAAAGCCATAATAATAGTAATAATAATAAGGAGAAGAAGAGGAGGAGAGAGAGGAGGAGGAAGAGGGAGAAGGAGGAGAAGGAGAAAAGAAGAAGGAGAAGGAAAAGAAGAAGAGAAGGAGAAGGAGGAGAAGAAGAAGAAGGAGAAAAAGAAGGTGAAAAAGAAAAAAACAACTTAGAAATAAACTAACCTAAGAAGTGGTGCATGCACATGTGCGTGCATACTCAGGATCCTGAGAGGAGAGTGGAGAAGGGATTGCATCATGGCCATTCCTCCTGGGGACTGATTTCTCTTTTTCTGTCTTTCTGTCTCTCCTGCGAGTGCATGCATCCTATAGCAAAAATCTCTCTTAAAAAAGGAAAGAAAGAAAGAGAAAACTACTAATGAATAATACAGGGGGAACTCTTGGAGACATCAGAGTAAGCAAAGACTTCTTAAATAAGACCCCCAAAGCACAGGCAATAATCCCAAAAGTAGACAAAGGGACTACATCAGGCTAAAAGTTTCTGCACAGCAAAAGAAACAATAATTAGAGTGAAGAGACAGTCTTCAGAATGGGAGGATGTATTTGCAAACTCTGCCTCAGATGAGAGACCGATGACCAGAATACACAGGGAACTCAAGCATCTTACTTTCAAAAACAACAACAAGTAAATAAAGCAATCTGATTAAAAACTGGGTAAATGAGCTAAACAGACAATTCTCAAGGAAGACATATGAATGGCCAAAAAGTATATGAAAAAAATATGCTTAATGTCTCTTATCTTAAGGGGAATGCAAGTCAAAACTACAGTAAATACCACTTAACCATAATCAGAATGGCTAAGATTTAAAAAAATAAAGAATAGTAAGTGCCTGCAATATGTAGTGAAAAGGGAACTCTGCAACACTGCTGGAATATAAGCTAGTACAGCCATTGTTGAGAACAATATGGAGGTTCCTCAAAAACCTACTAATAGAACTGCCATGTGACCCAGTAATTCCACTTCTGGGTTTCTACTCAAAGGATTGGAAAACATCGAGTTGGAAAAAACACTTGCACATCCAAATTTATTGCAATATTATTCACAATTGCTACGTCATGGAATCAACCTAAATGTCCAGGAGCAGATGAATGGACTGAAAAAATGTGGCACACGTACACTATGGAATACTACTCAGCCATAAAAATCAATCAAAGTCAAGACCCTGACAATTGATACATTCCAAAGAAAGTAATATCAAATTTTTCATGAGGTAAACCAGTAATAAAACATGTTTAAGACCAACAGTGACAGAGGAGAATTAGTGAGTATAATTCCAAAGACATGATCCTGCTTATACAATTGAGTATTCTCATTAGCTAGTCATCATGGTGCATCTAAGGTATAACACTGTGCCTGAGATTGCAACCTCTCTAGAGATACCAATTGAATGAATTAAACATCATTGACTAGGGACCAGCAGATGGCGTGATGGTTACATTACTGGACTCCCACTTAGTTGACTTAGTCCCAGATCTGGTGGCTTGAAACTCACACTAGTCATGTGTGTGGACATGCCCAAAATCCTGAGAGGAGAATGGAGAAGAGACTGTAGCATGGTCACCCCCCCTACAGGGTGATTTCTTGTTTTCTGTCTCTCTGTCTCTATCTGTCTCTCCAGTGAGCACACACACCTTATAGCAAAAATATCTCTCTCTCTCAAAAAAAAAAAAAAATCATTGACTGGGGGCCAGCAGGTGGCATGAATTGAGGTGTGGGACTCTCACATTGCTGATTACAGTTTGAGACCTGGACCTGGTGGCTTGAAAGTCACGCTGGGCACATGTGCATACATGCCCGAAATCCCAAGAGGAGAATAGAGGAGAAGGAACTGCAGCATGGCCATCTCTCTGGGGGTGATTTCTCACTTTCCCTCTCTCCTGTGAGCTCACACACCCTATGGCAAAAACGTAAAAATAAAATAAAAATTTACTGAATACATAATTTATAATTTAAAAATATAGAAACCAAATGTTAGTAAATGTATGAATGAGCTAAGAGAATTACGATAAAAAACAGACACTTTGATTATTCATGTAAAGTCAGTGTATATTTTCTCTCTTTTTTTACTATTTAACTTCATTTACTTATTTTAATTTGACCAGAGAGGGACAGAGCAAGAGAGAAAGATAGAAAGGAAAAGTGAGAAAGCAAACCACCAGGTCTGGGACTGGAACTACAATCAGCCATGTCTAAGTCCAGCACCCTTAACTGCCATACCACCTGCTGACCCCATGTATATATATTTTTTTAAGTTTTAGCTTTTTATTTTAAATTAGTTTAAGTCTCAAGAGAAGCACCAAAATAGATGTATCCTTCACTCCGATTCCCATACTGACACTAATACAGTGCTATTCACTCAGGGATAGATTCTCCTTTAGGGTGACTCTAACAGATGAAAATAGTGCTAATGAACACAGGAATTCCTTACTCTAGATTAGTCTAGTCACCCTTTCTCTGTGTGGTATTTCAAGGGCAGTGATAAGGCACAGGGGATTATGAATTGAGGGACTCAGAGAATCATTTTGGTTAAACCAATGTCAGATGCCCCCAATCAGGGCTCTGGTCAACTGAACTATAGAAGATGGCTTAAGTCAGTTCTGTCCAGCAGAATTCTCAGCACGAGAGAAATGTTCCACATGTGTGCTGTCCAATATGGAAGCCACTGACTGTGGCTTTTGAGCACTTAGAATACAATTACCTCAAATGAAGAACTGATTTTTAAACTTAATCAATGAAAATGTAAATTTAAATAGGTATGTGTAGCCAGTGGCTATCATACTGGGCAGTGGAGATTTTGACCCAAAAGACATTTTTTTTTTTTATTCTTAATTCCCATCTTAATTCCCAGCACCCAGAGAGAAAAAAGCCCAGACCTTGAGAATGAGGAAGAGGAAAGGATTTAGCATGTTCCATTTCTGATTAAGGATACACATGAAAGAAAAAAAAAAAAAAAAGTCCAATAGCCATCATTCTTTCCCTCTGAGCATCCTTACTCTACCCAGTGCCCCTCTTTGTGTAGAGGAAGAGAGCAGAAGAGGAACACCAGTATTCCATTGGTCTCATAGGACATACCTCATCTCACTAAAGTCCTGGAATTTCAGTGAATCATTCTAAGGTCCCATCCTCTTGGGCATCAATAATTGATGAAAGTAGAATATAAACTAAGAATTTTCTCCTCTAAAATTCTCAGTAAGATCACTTGGGTCAACAATCATGTTGACTTGTCATAAAACAAAACCCTGTGGCAAAAGTAGGTGTTGAGATTCTACCATCCTGCCGCACCACCATGTACTGAGCACTCAGACTCCTCGCACCCTCATGTCACCTTCTGCAAGCACCAGCCTCGGCCTCTGCTCCCGGCCTGGGTGGCGTGCCCATTCTCCCACTCCGGCCCCCGAATGCCACTCGCATGGACAGCCAAAATGCCTTCCGGATAGAGTATGATACCTCTGGTGAACTCAAGGTCCCAAATGGTGAATACTATGGTGCCCAGACTGTGAGATCCACAATGAACTTTAAGTTTGGAGGTGTTACAGAGCGCAGCCCAATCCCAATTATTAAAGCTTTAGGCATCTTGAAGTGAAAGACTGCTGAAGTAAACCAGGATTATGGTCTTGATTCAAAGATTGCTAATGCAATAATGAAGGCAGCAGATAAGATAGCTGAAGGTAAATTAAATGATCATTTTCCTCTCGTGATGTGGCAGACTGGATCAGGAGCCCAGACAAATATGAATGTAAATGAAGTAATTACCAACAGAGCAATTGAAATGTTAGGAGGTGAGCTTGGCAGCAAGAAACCTATGCAGCCCAAGGATCATGTTAATAAAAGCCAGAGCTCAAATCTCCCTTTTCCCACAGCAATGCACATTGCTGCTGCAATAGAAGTTTATGAGGTGCTGTTACCAGGACTACAGAAGCTACATGATGCTCTCGAGGCTAAATCCAAAGAATGTGCACAGATCATCAAAATTGGGCATACCCATACTCAGAATGCTGTTCCACTTACTCTTGGGCAGGAATTTAGTGGTTATGTTCAACAAGTGAGTTATGCAATGGTGATAATAAAAGCTACCATGCCAAGAATCTATGAGCTCGCAGCTTGAGGCACTGCTGTGGGGACTGGGCTAAACACTAGAATTGGCTTTGCAGAAAAGATTGCTGCAAAAGCTGCTGCACTCACAGGCTTGCCTTTTGTCACTGCTCCAAATAAATTTGAAACTCTGGCTGCTCATGATGCTCTGGTTGAGTTCCGCCGGGATGTGAACACCACTGCTTACAGTCTGATGAAGATGGCAAATGACATTCGTTTTCTGGGTTCTGGTCCTTGGTCAGGCCTAGGAGAACTGATCTTGCCTAAAAATGAACCAGGAAGTAGTATCATGCCAGGCAAGGTGAACCCCACTCAGTGTGAGGCAATGATCATGGTTGCAGCCCAAGTCACGGTAATCATGTCGCTGTTACTGTTGGAGGCAGCAATGGACATTTCGAATTGAATGCTTTCAAGCCAATGATGATTAAAAATGTGTTACGCTCAGCCAGGCTGCTGGGAGATGCTTCAGTTTCCTTCACCGAAACTGTGTGGTAGAAATTCAGGCCAACACAGAAAGGATCAACAAGCTAATGAGTGAGTCTCTAATGTTGGTGACAGCTCTTAATCCTCACAAAGGGTATGACAAGGCAGCAATGACCGCTAAGACACCACACAAAAATGGATCAACCTTGAAGGAAACTGCTATTGAACTTGGCTTTCTCACAGCAGAGCAGTTTGACGAGTGGGTAAAAACCTAAGGACAGGCTAGGCCTAAAGTGATTTTAAATAAATTTACATAAAGACAAATAAAAAAAAAAAGTAGGTGTTGAGGGACCAGCAGATGGCGTAATGGCTACATCACTGGACTCCCATGTAGTGGACTGTAGTTTGAGTCCTGGACCCAGTGACTTAAACTCGCACCGGGTGTGTGTGCATACATGCCCAGGATCTCAAGAGGAAAATGGAGGAGAAGGGATTGTGGTGTGGCCATCCCCCCGGGGAAGGGGTGATTTCTCACTTTCTGTCTCTCTCTCTCTGTCTTTCTGGCAAGCACCCATACCCTATAGCTAAAAACTCTCAAAAAAAAAAAAAATAAGCAGGTGTTGAGAGCTGAGGTATATGCCTGGGCTGGAATGAACAGTAGATAGTTGGGGACAGAGACAGTTACATTCAATATAATGAGGGGTAAGATGGAGTCATTATAAACCTGAGAGAAGATGTCCCTAGATAGAATATGGGATTTATGGCCATTAACATAAATCTTGCTCCAGAATCCGTCCCTCCACCAGGCCTGATATTCATAATGCAACTTTTATTTTGTCGTTCCATTATACTTGATAGCATCTATAAATATTCCGATGAAGAGTTTGAAGATTCACTTTCTTTCTCAGAAGGTGAGAGAGAGAGAAAACTGTCATTGCCCAAGATACCTACTGACTTTCAGTCCTCTGTGGATGAGGTTCCCAGGTAAGGTGTGGAAAGCTAAAAAGGCTGACAGTTTTGGATGTTGTTTCTCAATATTACAGAGGAACATGAAAATCAGGTGGATTGAGATGGTTTTTATAGGAATCAAGGGAGAACAAATGAGTTTATACAATAATAGCCATGAGACCATAAATTTTTGCATCAAACCTGAGGTAAATCAGTAGTTCCATGGAGATATCCAGGAAGCTACACACCAAAAGACAATAAACAACACAGTGAAAGACCATTACATTATTGATTGAGTTGTTAGAGCATAAAACCAACTCAATTCTCCAGAACACTGGCTAATGATGAGGCTGAAGGCCAGAAAAGTTAACACCAGAGGAAGAAAAGAAGCCTTGATTTATCGTGTTTACCAGTTTCCATCAGGGCAGATTTCAAACTACCAACATGATCCTGGAGTTGGGAAGGTGTGTGCTCAGTGCATCACTGTATTTTCACCACAAGATACAACAGACATCAATACCCTTCAGTGCATAGAGTACAGTATAATGTAGTAAACTAGGAAGTGGCACTTTTGTTTCTTTTTTTTAGAGGATTTTGCCTTAGAGCGCATGTGCTCACACAGGAGAGAGAGAGAGACAGACATAGTGAAAGAGAAAGTGACGAACTACCCCCACCCCCAGGAGGGATAGCTATGCCACAGTCCTTTCTTCATTCTCCTGGGATCTTGGGCATGCACATACATATACCTGGAGTGATTTTCAAGGCACCAGGTCCGGGACTCAAACTGCTGTCAGTCATGTGGGAGTCCAGTGACATAACTGCTACATCTGCTGTTCCAGAAGTAGTATTTTTAAAATAGTTGTTATTTTTGTTTGTGATACAGTTTGTTTAAATGCAAGCTTATATAATTTCATTTTTACTAATGGCTGCGTTTGACAGCCTGTTTGCAAATACCTGGAAATGTTTTGTTTCTTTCTTTCATGAGCGAGAGACAGAGCGATAATACCCCAACATGATCCACCTCCACATTAGCCAGCCCAAGATCACGAGCATACATGTGCCCAGCATATCCAGAAGGTCACTGGACACAAGTCTGGGACCTTCGCATGTGGGTCAGCCTTGCAGAGCATTGCATTTTACCATAGCACCACTGTCTGATCATGGAAATCCCAGGAAATTTAAAATAGACTTTCACGATCTGGAGTGAGCTGTCTCCAGTATAATACTGGCTTCCTCCCACTATCTGAATCCCAGCTTCAGCCAGCGAACAGGGTCCCTGAGAGTGAATATAAAATGGCATATTTACCTCCAGTGCTTTCCACGAGGCTACCTTAGTCCATGGCTCACCATGCATTCTCAGACAATACCAAGTCTTAGGATGACAGCCCCAGCTTTTTCACTGCTTGGCCTGCCCACAGGACCCCTGTAAGAAAGGACTGTGGGTCCTGTCTTTTCATCTCACTTCTCCAAGTACCTGTTCTTTCCAACCTCAATCTCTGTTCAATTCTTTTATTGCATTGTTGGAAAAGTCATGACACATTTTTATACAGAAAAAAAAAGTCATGACTTTTCTGATAACCAAAGAAATTGAAATTAATAGACATGTCAAGGAATATATATATATATGTATATACATGTGTATATATATGTATATATGTGTGTATATATGTATACATGTATATGTGTGTATATGTATATATGTATGTATATATGTGTATATATATGTATATGTATATGTGTGTGTGTGTGTGTGTGTGTGTGTGTGTGTATAAAACCCTAAGGGGTCGAGAATTCCATGCACATATCAAAAAATCAGGGGAACCTAAGAAAACACCAGCAGAAAACTGGACCACATTTCGCAGTGCCGCAGCTGCACCTGCTGTGCAATCACTGTTGTTTGTACAGACGTAAAGACTGCTTTTATCTGCAGTTTCATCATACCCCCTCTGAGCGACTGGGACTTTTTGCCCTCTGATTCCTCTGGTCTTTATTTATTCCACATTCAAACTCCCCAAGGCAGGAAACTGGATTCAGTTAGTTGTCTTTGTCTAGCTTCTTGAGGAACCACTGGCTCATCCTGTAGATCATAACTTTTTTTTTTTTAATTAAATTTAATTAGTTAAATTTAATTCATAAGGTATACAAGTTCTTTTATACCTTCACCCAACTTTAGAATCACCTGGAAAGCTGTAAAAATGCTGATGCTTGGCTTCTAACTCCAACATCCTGATTTAATTTAATTTACCTACGCTGTGGATTGGGTCTCAGGTGGTTTTTAGAGCTCCCCAGGGGTGTCCAGGCTGGGAACCACTGCTACAAATGCATGCATTTCACTCATGGGTCAGTCATGGCTTCAGTCTTTTGCTTCCAAAGGTCATATGATATCAAGTGGAGCCATTCATGCAAAAGAACCTGGCTGCGGCCACCTCATGCACTGCTATGACAGGAGCTGAGAAGGGAGACTAGTCAGGACACAGTCAGCTCTGGAGAGCCCGTTAGTTCTGCTACCCACATATCACCCCTATATCTAGTTTTAAGATGTTTTCATCCAAGTTATCAATTCTTTTGTCATGGTCTAAGTCAGTCCTGCCCAACAGAACTTCCAGGTTGGTGGAAACGTTTTACCTGCACTCTGCAATTTAGTTAGCCACACCTGGGTACTGAGCACTCGGAAAGTGAATAGTACAACCCGGGGGCTGAATTTTTTATTTAGCTGATTTATTCGCTTAAGTTTAAATAGCCACATGTATGTAGCGACTACTGTACTGGCCAGCACAGCTCTGATTTTTAATAGCATCTTCTCCATGTTCACCAATCAATTCTTAATATTTTCCATATTTTTGGAAAACAAGGACCCCAGCTGACAGCCTATCAGGAGGGCAGGAATCTCCAGAGAATCAAGAAACAGGTAAGGGTGACTGTAGAAGTCGAGGGCGTGTGGGTCGATAAAATGCTTGTGGGGTTTTACAGCTTAATTGGAAATAGTTAAGCCACTCACTGCAAGAATGTGGAAATGCTCAGGGAACAAGGCACAGTCTGTGGCAGCCGGGGACGGGCAGGGCCCTGCAGGAACACGTCCTTCTGCCTCTCCGGCTTTGGCGCTCATTCCTTTTCTTGCCTGCACTTTGCTCGCCAGCAGGTTTCCTTGGCTCTTGGGAACCATGCCGAGACTCAGCTGCATTGGGTCCAGCCCTGGACAAACAGTATCACCCCGCTAAGCTGTCCAATCTGGCTTCCCAGAAAACCTTTTAAATGTGGGGGTATGTGTTTGAATTAGGAAAGCTCATGGAGCTTCACGGTGAAGGTGGTAGCTCTGGAAAAGCTATTAGGGATGAGACAGGCACTAAAGTGGAACAAGCTGATGGCGATGAACCACCAGTCTAAGACTCTGGAGTTCAGACTATTTTTGGGGGGGGAGAGGTTTGTGCTATAGGGTGCGTGTGCTTGCCAGACAGAGAGAAACAGAGACAGAAAGCAAGAAATCACCCCCCCAGAGGGGATGGCCATGCCACAATCCCTTCTCCTCCATTCTCCTCTCAGGATCTTGGACACGCACGCACACACGACCGGTTAAGACTCTGGAGTTCAGACTATTTTTGGGGGGGGAGAGGTTTGTGCTATAGGGTGCGTGTGCTTGCCAGACAGAGAGAAACAGAGACAGAAAGCAAGAAATCACCCCCCCAGAGGGGATGGCCATGCCACAATCCCTTCTCCTCCATTCTCCTCTCAGGATCTTGGACACGCACGCACACGCGCCCGGTGTGAGTTTTAAGCCACCGGGTCCGGGATGCAAACTGCGGTCGACTACATGGGAGTCCAGTGACATAGCCATTACGCTAACTGCTGGTCCCTGGAGTTCAGACTTTTAATAGTAACAAATAAAAAGTCTTGTTCTCGAACCAAACAAATAATTAAATAAATAAATGTGAGGACAAGATTTTAATGCTAACAAAGAATATCCTTGTGTGTTTCCCTGCTGGGGTTCAAAGAAACAAAATCCCATGTTCTAGTCACAGTTTGTTCTTATTCAATAGCTACATTCCCAGCCGCAGCTGTGGGATTCAGCATCCCAGACTCTCAGGCGATGCCTTTTTCAACAACCTACAACTCACGTGTCCACTATTTTCTTTCAGGAGATGTTTGCTCAGGAGAGGAGCAACTAGTCTCCTCTTTCGCGGCTAAACTTGGCTTTGAGCGTGACCCGGGCTGTAAACATAATCACTTTCTGGGACCTGATGGAAAGGTGGATATCGAGTTGATTGACGAGAGCGTAAACAGATACAGGTAAGAACAAAAGGTGCTAACTACTGAAGACAACTCCTATCTAAAGCTAACGTGTGGACTTGTTCTTTAAGCCATCTGAAATGGTCCCCATGCTCTGTGTATGTCTTGCACTGTCAAGTTGGTATGTTCATTTCAACATAGAAGAGAGAATTTTTTAAAGTGTGTGAAAGAAAGAAAGTAGGAATTTATTTTGGTGCAAAATATTTTTGAAATCTATGTATAGTCTCTTCATAATATTCACTTGCTTTTTAACATGTTTTTTCAAATGCCAGAGAGCACATGTACTTGAGAGAGAATCCCCAAATGGAGTGTGATCGCACCACAGTCCCGTCTCGATTTCTTCATCCTGTCGGGATTTAGGGCGTGGTGGCCCCTGGGCCTGGCATGTTTTTCAAGCCACTGGGGCTGGGACTCAAATTATGGCCTTGTGTGCTCTGGCTCACTTAACCACTAGGCGTTAGGGCCCCACAATATGCATTTTCCACACACTTTTTGAAGACTCCTTGCATAGAATGCCAAGAAGTCAAGAACAGAGGACTTAATGAACTCTGCGGAGTTTTCTAGTTTAGTAAAAGTTGCAGGTGGATCCTGAGCCTTGCCTCAGCCCTAATACTACACCCCACACAGGGTTGTTGAAATCCACATCCTGGTGTCTTCCCATTGTGACCATCACTCTGGCTCCTTCCAGCGTCCACTTCCCCACAGCCGGCTACTATCTGTGGTTAGCCAAGGGCCTTGGCTTTGTGGTAAGGGCAGCAGTGACCGTGAGGATTGCATTCGACTCTTGGGGTCAGCACCTGGGCCTGTCCCTGCAGCTCAGTGAGCAGTGGATGGTGGCTGGCCCTTTGTTTGATGTCACTGCAGAGCCAGAGGGGGCTGTGGCTGAAGTCCACCTCCCCCACTTCATCTGCCTGCAAGGTACTGAGGGGAGAGAGGAGGCGGTGGGGCTGTTAGGGGACCCTCTGTCTAATTGCCGTGTGGTTCTCCAATAGCAGGTGATGTCGACGTCGCCTGGTTCCAGGTTGCACATTTTAAGGATGAAGGGATGGTCCTGGAGAAGCCAGCTCGGGTGGAACCTTTCTATGCAGTACTGGAAAACCCCAGCTTTTCCCTGATGGGAATCCTACTGAGGATCGCCAGTGGGACCTGCCTTCCCGTGCCCATCACCTCCACCACGCTCATCTATTATCACTCCCACCCCCAAGATATTAAATTCCACTTGTACCTTATCCCCAGTGACGCCTTGCTAACGAAGGTAAGGCTGGCCGCTTTTGGAGGTCATGCAAAGATGAAAACTCCACTTCCAGGTTATCCCTGTGGTCCATCCAGCCTCTAGAACAGAAAGGTCAAGGTGCAGTTTTGACTGAGAGAAGCATGGATCACCTTCCATGAGATCAATCTGTTGATGCTGACCCTTGAGCCTTATGCAACAATCTGCTCTTAAAATTCAGTGTGGAAGGGCTGGCCCTGTAGCTTTGTGCTTAAGGGAGTTAGAGCTTATATGCTGACCATGGTTCAAATCCCAGCCCCGGCAGTTTGAACAACATCCCTTGGCCAGGGTCTTGAGTGGATTCTCATCACTCTTAGAACATGAACCACATCATTTATTGTGTCCAGGAGGTCATCGCTTCATCCTGTCCTCGATGAGTTCTCTTGTCTGATTGCCTCCACTCCCTTCTCGCACATTACGTTACAACACTGCTGACCTGCACTTTCATATCTCAGGTGTGCCAAGAATTCCTGCTCTGGGGTCCTTTCCCGCTTGCTTTCCCTTCTGAGTCTGGCTTCTCATCTTTCTGGTCTTTGCCTAAAAAGGAAGTTTAGGAAGTTTTTTAAACCCTTCAGTTTGGTCAATGCTCTTATTCTTGATCGATGTACCCTCTTTATTCCCACCATTGTATTTCCATGATTTCTTTTTTATTTGTTGTCTTTCTTTGTAGATTGTATTGGCCACATAATGGGAGGGGCCACTTCTGTTTAATCACAAATTAGTTAATGCACAGTGTAAGGCCTAGTATAGGTACCGCGTACGTTTTGTTTAAAGAATTCTTTCATGGTGTTTTGCTGACTGAATAAATGAGATATTTGTCTTCCTCTGTCTGATGCAAGGTGGAAGGGAAAGAAAGGATAAACCTTTATCCATAAGTGGACTTCCCCTTCTTACTTCCAGAGAAGCACCATCCAGCATGAGAGCCACTGGCCTCCTGTGGCTGAGCGTGAGCAGAGATGGGCTGTAAATTTAAAGCGCACGGAGCTTTGAAGATTTAATATGAAAAAGTACATAATATTTATTTTCATATTGTTTACACGTTCAAACACTACTATTTGGGGTTAAATGAAATCTATTACTGAAAGCAACTTCATCTGCTTGGTTTTGCTTTCTGAGAAACGTGACTGCTAGAAAATTTAAAATGACACTTGAAGCCTGTAGCCTTTTCTATTCAGGGAGATTCATTTCCCCGCTTAACAAAGTTACTGTGTGCCTTCCATATTTCGGTCACTCCTTTAGGCACTGGGGACCCACCATTGAACAAACAGACAAAAGCATGATAATCAAAAACGCTATATGGAATTTTTTAATTAAAATTTCTGACTTACATATAATCTTTGTAAGGGATAGCGTGGTTCTTAAAATCGTGTATACAGGCTCCAGTGACACGGGTCTGATGGCAGCAGAGTGGCCAGCCAGCAGCCTGCAGTGTTCACGGCCGCTGACCCTTCGATTCCAATGAGTTTACCCCTCAATCCCAAACCTGTCCTCAGTGGAATGACAGGAAAGCCAGTGATGGTGAAACCAAAATGGCGAATGGAGTAAAAGGGCTACCTGGTATTTGGAGATGGCCGTATGAACATGCAGCTTGAAAATACAGAAGAACACAGAGATGGGGCATTGTCTGGACAGCTGGGTGAAGTTTTAATAAGATACAGTAATGTCCTTTATACCAGAGGTTGGAGGACTATGGGGAAATGAGAGAGAAAAGCATCTTTTCTAGTTTCTATAAAAAGACCTCCTTCAAGGGAACCAGCAGGTAGCGTAATAGCTATGTCGCTGGACTCCCACGTAGTCGACTGTGGTTCACATCCTGGACCCGGTGGCTTAAAACTCATGCCGGGCGTATGTGCGTGTGTGCCCAAGATCCCAAGAGGAGAATGGAGGAGAAGGGATTGCGGCATGACCATCCCCCCTGGGAGGTGATTTCTCGCTTTCTGTCTCTGTGTCTGTCTGTCTGTTTGGCGAGCGCACGCGCCCTATAGCGAAATAACCTCTCCAAAAATAAATAAATAAATAAATAAAGACAACAAAGCTTTGTTTTTCAGCTTGAAAAAGATCATGTATACAAAATAAGCAAATCAAGGATATAAACATTTTCACCCTCTTCAACATTTAGCATTACATTTGTTGTACACATTCAAAATCTGGCCTATTGGCTTTTTTAGAACTATGCGTGCTGTTGTCACTGACATTCTTTACTGTGGGAAGCTCTCCCCAAACCTATTCCACTTGTTTACCTGCACTCTTGTTCTTCTAACCACTTTCTCCCCATTCTCCCCAATTCCCCAACCAACATCTAGCATCTACCATTGCTTTCTCTACTTCTAAGCTATTGAGTCCTTTAGCTTCTGCTATTGTCTGTCTAATCTTTGCATCGATTGAATCATGTCATACCCTTGCTACTTAATACAATATATAGATACCTTTTTTTGCCACTACATTGCTTATGTATTCATTTATTTATTTTTAATATTTCTGCCTCTTCTTTCTCAGGCAATAAATGATGAGGAAAGTAGGTTCCATGGTGTGCGTCTGCAGACCTCGCCCCCAATGGAACCTCTGAACTTTGGTTCCCGTTACATTGTGTCTGGTTCTCCTCACCTGGAAATAATGCCTAAGGTTAGTAGAATTCAAATCTAAGCTAATGTGTTTCGAATATTTCGCACTTTTGAAACAAATGGAAGGATCTTGACAAATGCAATATTTTTCTTTTCTTTTTTATTTTTGGTGAGATTTTTGCTGTAGGGCATGTGTGTTCCCCAGAGAGACAGAAAGCAAGAAATTAAGCCCGGGGAATAGTCATACTGCAATCCTTTCTCCTTCATTCTCCTGCTGGGATTTTGGGCATGCATGCACATCCGCCCAGTGTGAGTTTCAAATCGCTAGTTCCGGGACTCAAACTGCAGTTGACCACATAGGAGTCAAGTTCCTTAACCACTATGACACCTGCTGGTCCCAATATTTTTCTTTATTAATCACAAATATGTCCTTGTAAAAATTGAAAATATAGAAAAATGTAATTAATTATATTACATATTTCCAAGACACTAACACAGGAAAGTTAACATTGTAGCACTTAGTGTACTTATTTTGTGGTTAAAGTTACACTTTTAGTTTCCTTTTTATAACATTTTTTTTTTTTTGCCTATTATAGTTGCCTCCAGGCCTGATATCTTGCCTAAGTAAGGGACTTGATAGGTATTTATTAGAGTAGTTGAGTGAAGAGATGATTTTATATCACATATGTCATTTTATGTATATTTCGCAGGTGATTGCTGTACATTTTTGTGCAAATAAAGTTATTCTTTCGTACCAGCTCCATAGCCTGCTGGTTAAGGTAGTCAGATTCTACATGCCCAACTGCATGGCTTGAATCCTGGGCCTGGAGGCTTGAGAAATACACCAGGCATATGTGCATGCATGCCTGAAATCCCACAAGGAGGGAGAGATGGAGGAGAAGGGATTTTTGCATGACCACTTCTGATGGGTTGTGAGGGAGGTGGTGGTGATTTCTCCTCTTTCTCTTTTATGAATGCATGTGCTCTCCAGGAAAAAAAAAAAGAAAAAGAAAAAGAAAGAAAGTTTTGCCATAGGATGTTTTGCCATAGGACACATGCACTTGCTGGAAAGAAACAGACAGGGATGGAAAATGAGAAATCAACCCCCAGGGGGGATGGCCACACCATAGTCCCTTCCCCTTCATTCTCCTCTCAGGACCTTGGTTATGCTCACACAAGTGCCTGGAGTGTTTTCAGGCTACAAACCATGAAGTTGGCCATGTGGGATCCAGAACCTTTAACCACCATGCTGCCTGTTAGCTCTAGATATACACTCTTACACATTGTCTTAGTGGGGTGTAATATGCCCTATATCTAAAATCCTGAAGTTTTTAAAGAAGTCCATTATTATTCAGCACTTAGTTGTTTGTAAATTTTCAGAACAAGTGCCCTGGTACTAAATATTTTCATTTGTAAAGTTTTATGTTTTGTCTGTGGGGTTGGAGCTCTGTAAGTCAAATTACTGATTCAAAGAGAATTTACCAATTTAAAGCTAGTGTACTTCTAAATAGATTTTCAAAGATTTTGTACAATATAACTTCTTTTTTTTAATCTTTTTTTTGAGAGAGGATTTTGCTATAGGGCATGTGCGCTCACCAGAAAGACAGAGACAGAGAGACAGAAAGCGAGAAATCACCCTCCGGGGGGATGGTCACACCACAATCCCTTCTCCTCCATTCTCCTCTTGGGTCTTGGGCACACACGCAAACATGCCTGACATGAGTTTAAGCCACCAGGTCCAGGACTCAAGCCACAGTCGACTACATGGAAGTCTATCGACATAGCCATTATGCCAACTGCTGGTCCCTGCACAATTTAACTTCTAAGTAGACAAGAAGCAGGTTGTCCTACAAATTCTACTATCTCTGCAATAAAGTATCAAATTATAGTCATTCTGCAATGTGAATGGGAAAAATAAAAAGCACATCTCGATCAGTTTTAAGGTCTTTAATGATGATGTTGGACAATTTTAACATTTTGGATAGATGCAATTTTGTTTTGTTTTGTTTTTCCTATTTGAAGGCCTAGGAAAACCAAGAGTAAAGAAGATTGAGGAAAGCAAGAGGGTTAGGTATCGTTATTTCCACTTCTCCTTTTTGGACAGTAAGGCTAAGGTTGGGGAAACTTTTTTTTTTTTTTACAGAGTCAAACAGATAACAACATGTAAAGCCCATTTTCCTCAATTTAGTGCTCTTTTTCTAAATATACCAGAGCATAGGAATTTAATAAAGCACTCACACTTGCTCTGCTCATAGTTCCCAGTTTCCTTGATAAACTCTAAGCAATCAATGCTAGGTAGGAACTTCCCTGTTGTCCTTTAGGCCAGATACCTTCTTAGCTGTTTGAGGACCTGTGATTATTTGTGATACGGAAATAACTAAGACACAGGGCATGGGTGTGTTTAAAACAAAAATACAATATTGAAAGTACGAGATAAGAAATGGCAGCTTGTAACAGGGAGGTGATCCTCTCTAGTGTGACATAAATTGTCCTCAGAGTTGTCTTTCCTTCAAACAGATTTAGAATCAACAATCTCACATCTTACATTTTTAAAAAATTATTTTCCAATATCACTGGGGCTTATTTCATAAAAGAATGAGGGATTTGCATTACTCAAGCTTTTCTCAGTTCTATCTGGGGTAGGAGGTTGGTGCTCAGTCCCCAAGGTAGCTGCCTCTAGGAACCCTTGGGTAGCGGGTACAGAGCAGTTAAAGGGACCGGAAGGAAGGACAGCATATCTGATCCTTGGCCTCCCACTGAGACTAAGAGAGACCTGATGAGGTGCCTTTGGCCACCCCCTGCTCTTCTGTAGTCTCAGATTCTGATCTGCAGGCACCATTACTGAGAAGCTCAGAATCTGAGACTTTAGTGTTCAGTCAGTATCTCCCACAATTTTTACCTGAGTTGTGTAGTGTTGAGAGCTAGAATACTCTTCTTTCCATGTGATGATATTTACTAAAATTGTCCATTTTAAAGGCTATAGACTTCTCTCTCTCTCAGAAAGAGAGAGGTCTACCTCAACCAACCATAAGATGGTGCAGAAAACGGGTTTCATTCCACTGGCCAGTTTACTGCAGAGGAGCAGACCTTTCCTTCTTCCACTCTCTCAAGTCAAGTAGCATGTTTCCTCTAGGAGTTGAGATTGTCCTACAGGAGCCCTGGAGAAATCCAGCCCTTCTCTAAATTCTATGCTGGGCAGATGAAGGAACCAATCCGACTTGAAATTACTGACAGAAGACGGACTTTGGTCTGGGAGACTGTGGTGAAGCCAGGTAGGTGAAAGCGGGAGGCTGACTGTCTTGGAGAAGGAAAAGTCATGCACCCTTGGGTGTCAAAAGTCTGCGGTTCTATCTCAGCAATAAGAAGTCTATTGTCAGTTTATAGCCAATTTTAGTAAAATAAAGATGATGCATTGGTTCATATCTAGGGAGTAAAAAGCTCAAGGAGCCTGGGAAAGGGAATGGCTGCTGCTGTTGAGAATGGAACCTCTCACCCCTAGGGAATAAAGAATAGAAAATTCAGAGCCAGCAGACAATGCAGTGGTTAAGGCACTGGATCCACATGTCCAACTCCATGCTTCAAGTCCCAAACCAGGGGCCTGAAAAACATGCCCAGCACATGTATGTCAGCAAATAGAAAAGGGATTGCAGTGTGGCCATCATCCCTAAAGAATGATTTCTCACTTTCCTTCTCTCCGTCTATCTCTCTCTGGTGGGCTCACGCATTCTATAGCAAAAAAGAAAGAGGTGACTCAGTAGGAGTATAGATACTGTTATATTCATTTTTCTGTGCAATTTAATAATGTATTGGATGCTCACCTTTTATTCTTTTTGAGAGAGAGATTTTTGTTATAGGGTACACATGCTTGCTGGAGAGACAGAAAACAAGAAATCACTTCATAGGAGAATGGCCATGCCATAATTCCTTCTCCTTTATTCTCCTATCAAGATTTTGGGCATACACGCACACATGCCCAGTGTGAGTTTCAAGCGTTCAGATCCAGGACTCAAACTTCAGACAGCCATGCGAGAGTCCAGTGACGTAACCACTAGCCATCTGCTGGTTCTCCACTTACAAAATATTCTGTAAAATGTTTTATGTACCCCTACAAATTCAACATCATCAACAAAATTTCATGACGTTTAGAAACTCTCAAAAAACTTGCCAAAAACTTAGAGATCCTTGAATCTCTTTAAATTATGTATTTACATTTCTATTCATATACTAGCCTCTCTTGCGAAGGCCACCCTCTGTATACCTGAAATAACACAGAAAGTAATGTACTCAATAGAAGATCGTTGTCATGGGTAACACAATGAGAAGAATTTAGTAAGACTGTATCAGGAAAAGGGCAAGAAGGTAACACACGCATAGGAGCTATACATTGTTTTACTCTTTTGCATAGTAACATGGGCATTCATTAATTTTTTTTAAAATTGCCTTTTGATGAAAAGTTTTCTGTGGATGATAATGTAAATGGTAATATCTTTGGCTCAACTAATATGCACTCTACTCATGCTGGGAAAGACCCTACTGTACACTGTAAAGATGTACAGTTACTAAACGTAAATTTTTAAAAATGTTTTTAAAAATGCCAAAGTTGGGACCAGCAGTTAGCGTAATGGCTATGTCGCTGGACTCCCACGTAGTTGACCGCAGTTTGTGTCCCGGACCCGGTGGCTTAAAACTCATGCCGGGAGCGTGTGCGTGCGTGCCCAAGATCCCGAGAGGAGAATGGAGGAGAAGGGATTGCGGCGTGAC